AGGTTGAAATTCAAGGACTAAGGATTTTGCAACAAAGTATTTGACGGGTTCCATTCATGTATTTCCTCCTAAATTAAAACTGACTCATTTATTTACCTATACTGACTTTTAAAAGTGGAAGAGGAAGGGGAGGGGGAGGGGTTGGAGGAGGAGGAGGAGGAAGAGGAGGAGGAGGAGGAGGAGGAAGAAGAAGAACAAAAAAACCAGGGTCTCCCTGTAGCCCCAACTGGCCTGGAATTAACAGAGACCCACCCGCCTCTGCCTCCCAGGTGCTGGAATTTAAGCCTGTGCCACCACCACACCCAGTTGTTTCTTCAGCTACAACTATTTACTTATTGGTGTGCAGACTAGTGGAGCTCAAAAGACAACTCGCAACTCGGCTCTCTCCACCACGGGGGTCCCAGAGATCTCAGGCCAGGCAGCAAGCTCCTTTCCCCACTGAGCCGTCTTGCCAGGCCTCCATGAACTCTTGATCCTCCTGCCTCGGCATCTTGAATGTTGGGGTCACAAGTGTATGTCATTATGCCCATCTGGGGTTAACTTTTTAGAAGTATTCACTCTGTTACAAAAGTTATGAACTTCACTTCTCAAACTGGAGACATGAAATCAAAGACGCACTAATTATTCAATCACAGTACACTGTTTATGACTGAGATTATAATACAAAATATAAACTCTTTACTTAAATGACTAAGAATCCTGTTCTGGTTTCTTCTCTGTTGCTGTGATAAACACCATGACCAAAAGCAACTTGGTGAGGAAAGGGTTTAATCTGGACTACACAACCAGGTCACAACCCATCATGACGAACGCACGAAACCATGAAGGAAACTGCTTGCTGGCTCACTCACAGGCCCGTGCTTACCTAGCTTTCTCCTATAGCCCAGGCCCACCTGCCAGGGCTGGGCCCTCCATCAGTTAGCAAGCAAAAAAAAAAATCCCAAGACATGCCCACAGGTCAATCTGTTGTAGGAAGCCCCTCAGTTAAGACTCCCATCTCAGATGACACTAGGCTGTTGTCAAGGTGACAGTTAACACTAACTAGGACAAAGCCCATCCATGAATTTCCACAGAAAAGGTTTCTTCCTATGAAGAAGAGCTTATTAGTAATGGTGAGCTACACCAGACTCTCCAGCTCTGAGGGCTCGGGCTCAGGAAGTTGTTGTGATAGGCAGGAATCGTGGTCTCTTCTGCTGTTTCAAAGCTTCTACAGCTGGGAAACTAGGCTGGACAAGGCCACGTCTGCCTTCCAGAGTCTCCCTGTCTCTGACAACATACATTTCCTTCTGCATTTCTGATTCAGTGAACCCAGACAGAAAACAATGACAAAGTGAAGTCAGGTCAAAAGTAAATTTAAAAACCAGGCATGGTGGCACACACCTTTAGTCCCAGCACTTGGGAGGCAGAGGCAGGTGGATCTCTGTGAGTTCCAGGCCAGCCTGGTCTACATAGTGAGTTCCAGGCCAGCTGGGGCTACAGAAACACCGTCTCAAAAAGACCAAAAAGTAAAAAAATAATTTTAAAATGTAAAGACAGTACATTTAGACTAGTACATTAGACTAGTTAACTACATCAATATACTAAACCTCACTCCAAAACCTCTCCACAGAGCAATGGCTCCCTACCTCAGGAGCAGAGTCCGACAGGGAGCTTGTTCAAACAGAACACTGAGAAGGGAGCTAGTGTGGGAAAGAGACAGTCACTTCTCCAAAGAGGCCCAAGACCCACTTCAAGAGCACAATCCCTCAAACCACACCAGTGCTTAAAGGGGAGGGCCCAGAGCCTACCAACATACATACTACTGGAATATCCCAGATTATTAAGGGAATTTATCAAAAACCTTAACAAACACATGCTCATCATGAGACATTATGCAAGGTCTTTTAAAGGTTATGAGGTACCAGGTGATAAAGTATGTGCTTAGCATGAACCAGGCCTGAGTCTTACACCCCAGCACCAAATAAATAAATGAATGAACACACAGAAGACCTGGGTTCGAATCCCAGCACCCACATGGCAGCTAACAACTGTCTGTAACTCCAGTCCCAGGGGATCCGACAGTTTCTTCTGTCCTCCACGGGCATTGCATGACAGGGGTGCACTTACCTACATGCAGGCAAGGCAATACATGCATACTCATAAAAATAATAAAATATCTAAAAATAAATAAATAAATAGATGGGTTTTATAATACTTGAATTAGAAAGATGTTTTGCTGTTGCTGAGCCAGGGTCTCATGCAGCCTAAGCAGGCCTAGAGTTTATCCAACAGTTGAGAATGACTTTGAACTTCAGATCCTCCTGCCACCAGCTCCCAAGTGCTAGGTTACAGATGCACACCATCATCCCTGGCTTATGCAGAGCTGGACTGGAACCCAGGGCTTTGTGGTACTAGGCAAGCACTCTACCAACTGAGTCACACCCCTAGCCCTACAAAGATTTATTTCTTCCTAACATACATTCCAGTTTCCTTATTATCAGCAGACATATCTGGCTCATACTGTAACTTAGTCTTACCTCTTACGGAATACAACCAGCTTCTGTAAACAGAGCCTAGTTACTGAAGAGGCGCTTTAAAAAGGCATTGCGGGGCTGGAGAGATGGCTTAGCGGTTAAGAGCATTGACTGCTTTTGCAGAGGACCCGGGATCGATTCCCAGCACCCACATGGCAGCTGTGAACTGTCCTTAACTCCAGTTCCAGGGGAATCCGAAGTCCTCTTCTGTCGTCCGTGGCATTGCATGACACAAGTGCACTCACATACATGTAGGCAGTACACTCATACACGTAAAATAATAATAAATTTTTTAAAAAGGCACTTGTGCACTGCACGTGCAGCACAGCAGAAGCCAAGGGCACGAGGTACTGACGAGGCACTTACCCCCTTGGGCTCCGGGACGATCAGATGTGTGCACTTCTTGTTGAGGGTCAGCTGGCAGCTGCCCCCATGGAACGTGAGCAGAGCCCACAGGGCGCTTCTGTCCTCAGGCGACACCTGGCAGAGAGTCAGAAACCAGACATCACCGTCCATCCCGCCATGTCTCCATCTCCACTCTGCCTCCACAAAGGAGCTGGGGGCTGCTGCCCAAGGATGTCGGGGCGCAAGCAGGAGCAGCACTTGCCGCCGGCCGCTCTCAGCAATGCCACAGGCACCCAGTGAGCAAACGCTCACACCCAGGGCTGGGAAGCGGCTGGGTGGCAGAGCTTGCCCGGCATTTGTGAGGCCCTGGGTTAGATCCCGAACACCACGAATCACTTTAAAAACTTTCCATCTACATCCCAAAGGCTGAATGATTAATTCAGTCTATAACAAAAATGGTCAGAAAAACAAAACAAGGCAGAAAAGAACTATTCCAGTTGCCCATCAGTTCTGAAAATGTTTATGACAGCAACATCACAACCACATTTACAAAGAACCCTGCCTTCAAAATGAATAATTATGACACAGATAAAACCACAAGAGCCAAAGGGAAAACACAGGTATCATTTAACATGACAAACCTAAAGCGGATGTGAAAGGGAGTCTGTGCTTCACAGGGCTGGGCAGGCGCTGTGGACAGGCCTGTGCTGGACAGCAAACGCTGCCCTTTATTACTTACTATGTGCCAGGAGCTGTGCCCTGTGCTTCAGAACACAGGACTTGCCTCCCTCACACAAAGGACACCCAGGAACTAGATCCCTGGCACCTAGCACCTGGATGTGTCGGCCCAGGCCCAACTCCACACCACACTGCCTGCTGCTCCTCTAGGAGGGACATCTGGGAAAGGCAAACTAACTCCCGAAGGATAAAAAAGAGATGCTTAAGAGGAACACCAGGAATTAACCTTACGATAACCGTATAGACAGTGGAAACTTTCTGGGTGTATCTATTTTAAGTTGAGGATTATGGGTGCCAAGGAACCCTCAGGGCTTGTTGCATTTATTTTTTTAAAGTACTGACAAACAGCTAATCTCTTTTTAGATGCCAATGTGTGGTGTCCAGGCATCTAACACCTCACACTGATGCTCTAGCACCTGCTGGGTGTTCCACGCCAATCTGTGACTACCAGGAACATGTCAGCCTTCTCAGGTCATCTTCACATCGTGCCATCTCTCTGCTGACCACCCACTGGCATGTCAGAAGAGGGGGGCAGATTACAGCAACGGGACTTTCACAAAAACTCTTCCTACAGCACATGAAGAATTAAGTTTAATTATATGACAACACATTGATCCAGTGAAGCACTATATAATCTTTGTTTTTAAAAAAAGTGTAAAACCTAATCTAGATGCGGTTTAAAGACCGGAGTGGCCGTGTCAGGTAAGGACCACCTGGCTCACGGCTACAGTGAGTGCGGCCTGGCACAGGCACACACACCGTGGCACTGTGCTAAGCCCACCAGGGAGGAAGGAGCACCCAGGAGAGCCGGGTGGCTGTCTCTATTAACTAGCTGGTGTCAATGCAGAGCGCACTTAGAACGAAACCTGAAGCAGCTTTGGAGCATCTGCAACCACGGGATTAGAAGGTTCTTTCTGTCCCCACAGGTTTGGAGACATCCTGGTGAAGGACTGTGGGTACCTTTATTTTCATTTTATACTTCTCTGTATTTTCCAAATTTTCAAAAGCACTCGCTTTGCATGGGGAAGTGCTTTTCTCTTCTAAGCCGTTGTTCTCAGGTCCTGCCGGCTCTGACGCTTTGCCGTCCCCTTCCAGCACCAGGCTGAACCCAGCTCTCCAGCCTCCTGGCCCCTGAAGCTACTATGCCAGCTGCATCTAAATGCCATCCTCAGCATGCTAAGCCTCCCTGTGCCAAGCTCCTGCCCCAGCCTCCTCCTGTCGCCTCCATGTACCTCCACTGTGGACAGATGTCAGAGCACTAGCCACACCCTAATAGTCTGCTCTTTGGTTCCCTTGTCCCCAAAGAGCAGAGTCCCCACTGATCCCTGGGAATACATCCCTACACTCATCAGATGCTTCCTCCCAGCTGGCCTATAATCCCTCTACTAGGGAGGTGGGTAGAGACAGGACCACAAGTTCAAGGCCATCCTCAGTTACAGACCAACCTAAGGCTAGCCTAGGCTACATGAGACCCTACCTAAAGTCATTAAAAAGTGCCCTCTGTTCCCTTCCCAGGCTCCTCATACTCCTAAGTCCTGAGCTGCTGCTACTTCTCAGGGAACCAGGTCCAGTGCAGAGCACATGGGTAGCACCCAAGAAACTGCACTTCCAGGCTCCTCTCTGAGTCGCTCCTGGCTAGGCTCTCCATGAGGCCTGTCCTCACCCCCAACATCTACTCAGAATCTACGAGGCCTTGGCCTGCACTGCTACCAGCACGAAGGCAGATGAGCTGCGCTTTCTAACTTCTGCGAGCAGGAGCTCTCTTCCCCCTCTCCCTGGCAGAGCTCCAGTGTGGATCACAACCCTGATGGGAAGAGCCGTGTCACTGAGACCCACAAAGCAAGCACTCCTCTGGCCAGGTGATGTGTCTAAGCATGTTCATGCATGCGTGCATGTGCATTCCTCAGGGGCACCGAGCCTTCCACAGTCTTCGAGCCTCTGTCCCTTGTGCTGTCTCTACACTTGCACTTTTCTTGGTTACAGCACACTGATTGGACCACATGTTTAGCTATGTCCGGCCTGTCCATGCCAGTTCAGGTTAGAATTACTTCTGAATTAACATATACCCCAAGTCCCTTCACTGTAAGTTTGTTAATACAGCTTAAAACCAAATTAATATTTTTTAGCAAGCAGAAAACACTAGCGTCCCAAGGATACTGTCTTGAGCTGTCATGTGCAGGGTCTCTTCAAAGAAGGCTCATCAGTCCTCGTGTTACTCAGACCTTTCTGATCCTAAAGTGCTTTCTATTCTCCCAGGATACACTGGGATTTCAGCTCAGCTCAGTAAGTGACAAACGTGCTGGGGGTATATGTTAAGAGGTCCATAGACACCTAAGTGATTCTGAATCCAGCCAAGTGATGAATGTGTTGGTAAGAGACCCACAAAGGCCCAGCTGACTCCGAGTGTGGTTTTGCTTACTTGATGAATTTGCTGAGATGATGTAAACCCGTCAGTGGTCTTGCTAACCATGTGGACCACCCAGCCCTGCCCTGGACAAGGTGAGTCCCATTAACACTCTGCTACCTTGGCGCTGAAGTGGACAAACAGACCTCTCTCTAAATCACAGGCCTTTCCTGAAACCCCATCAAAGGACCCCACCCCCATCTCAGTGCCTGGACTGTGTACTCTGCCCACAGCTGCCTCGCCTAGTGGCTTCCCCTCTGGTATCCCCCTCCCCATCTCCCAGGCTGACCCCAGGCTGACCTCCCGCTCCCCTCAGCCCAGGCTCCAAAACCACTTAGAGGCCTGCACAGCTGCCTGAGGTGAGCTAGGGCCTCGGACTCACTGGTCACCCTCTCTTCTCTGTCTGTGGGCCACAGAACAAGACTGAAGGAACACACACAATCATTGCTACAACACACTCGTGCTTAGAGCCCATCCACACCCAGGGCCGTTTTCCAGTAATATAAACAAACACGACCTGTTCCGACCGACTCTTCTGTCATCATCTGGCTGAGCTGACACCTTGCTGCTGCCCTTGTACATTGACTTTCAAGCTCTGCAACCAATCTCTGTAACTGTGCCCGCTACCAATGATCTCCCCTAAGGCAACTGGCTCCTCTCTCCTAGACTGACAATTCCCTTCCACGTTCCTAAGTCTAGATAGTTCATGGATGCCCGGAATCCTGGGCCTCACACCAGCACCACCTTCGTCCCTCACACAGCAAGCTCTGCAACTGTCCATCAGTGAGCCCTGAGCTCCCAACCTAAAGCCATGACCAATCTGGCCCTGAACTTTGGCAAAGGCCACTCTGAGTCTGTGCAGAACACCTACAAGTCCCCGAGACCTGCGAGCCCCTCACTGCTAGGGTCCATGCTGTGCCTACGAACACAGATCCCAATCTTCACCTCCAATTCTCCAGTGGTGCGAAATTCTGATATCTACCCTGACCTCTATCACAGCCAGTCTTGGTTTACATACACCGATCACAAGTGACTTTAATCTTGTTTGTTTTCCAATTTCTCTAATGTAAACGTTTATAGTCCAAAATTGAACATGTATGTAAGGAAGCACCCGGGGGCTTCTTTTCCCAGCCCAAGCTCCAGGACTTGGTTTCAGTCCTCCCTGGTCTCCCCTGCCTGTCCTACAGCCCCATCTTCCCTCTGCAGGGACCACACCACCTGGTCAGTCTGAGACCAGCCCCAACTTTCTCTTAACCTTACTTACTTGAAACCCCCTCCTCCTGGTCCACTCCAATTCTGCTGTGTCCTCCTGGCCCACCTAGACGGCACTCCTGTCAGGTCTTGCCTCCCTCCAAACCAGAACAACACCCTCCTTTCTAAAGCACCTGGTCACACCTGGGCTACCTGGCTTCACCCAACATACGTTTATAAGCATGGCATGTGTGCTGTAACCCCATTTTACATATTATATGATGCCAAGTATTACATTTATTACCACTGTTAATCTACTGGTCTTTCTAAGCCTAAGTGTGTTCTCTAGTGTTCAACGCGGGTTGATACTAAGTAATATCTAATTACCACATTTAAAACCCTGTCATCATTTTATATGCACCTATGTTTGACTTCCTTGTTCCCCCAAGTCAAGTCTGCTGTACCTCACACCTACATCCTCCCCACCCCAACTCAAAGTGGCCTTCCAGTTCCTTCTTCACTGAATCTGAACCCCGTCTAGACGAGGCAGAGCCTGTGGAGCCTGGGCATCCAGCCACTGCCACTGTAATGAGGAAAACAGCACTCGCTGTAGCCAAAGCACAGAGGACCAGAAAGGCGGCGATGATGGACATGTCTCTCTCCTTCGGTTTTCCGGTGTGTTGGTTACAAATTTGGAATGTACAGAGAAGTATACGGAAAATAAAAATTGCATATAACCGTAACACTCAGTACTTAAAAGTTTGCATTTTAACAGCTTGTAAAGACCACCCTCATGTAAATATACATTTATATCAGACAAAAAAAAACTAAAAAAGAAAATCAAAAAATTTAATGAGAAAAAAACTGAAAAATAAATTCCTGTTCAAAGAAACAAAAGGAAACAAGTCTAAGGGTCCGCGTCAAGCAACGCGGTAAGAACAAAAGGGAGGTCTTTGGAACTCCACAAACTTCCAGATGTATAAGACACAGAAAGCACAGGAACTGCAGAGAAGCTTACTTACTCGTTGCCTGGACAAGGGAGGTGCACACTCAGACTGGCAACATCATGTGTTAAAGGTTAAGTCTGGCCAACAACCTAACAGTGGTGACCCAACACGCCCTGGTCCCGACCTGCAAGGCTGAGGGAGGAAGAGGCGAGGCTGTGTCCTTTCCAGCTCGTAAGCGCCTTGCTCTGCTCCTGTCTCAGAGGCCTGAAGAGAGGAAGGACGGGCCAGCTCCTCAGACCCGCAGGCGCCAAGGGCAGGCAGTGGGACCGCTGGGGACCGCTGGACAGAGAGAAGGAGCTCTCACCACCGTGCCCTCTCCTGCCTAACTACCAGTTCTAGCAAATACTCCAAGCCTTCCAAATGAGCCTAAAGACTATCAGCTCTGTGACTGACAGCTGCTGTCACAGCTTGGGCTTTTGAGCTGGGGTTAGGAGGAGACACTGAAGATGTACTTTTTAGAACAACAGCCACCTTTCTCAGTACCCAGAATTAACCACTATCAACACTCTCGTCCCTCCTGCTCTACCTGATTGATGTAATGTTGTATCCAGCTTTTCCCACTCAACCCATTTCCATAGAACATAAAAGTACCTTAACTATTACATGTGTGTGTAATAGGTTTCTTAAACATTTAGTGGTGTGCTTCCTACTGGCCTGAACTCACTATGGAGACCCGGCTGGCCTTGAACTCAGAGATCCGCCTGCCTCTGCCTCCCGAGTGCTGGGATTAAAGGCATGCGCCACCGCGCCCGGCCTGCCTTAGTATCTGATAAATGCTATGCGCGTCCACCCTTACTCCAAGCTTCCAACCCTAGAGAACCACCACAAGGGAAGCAGTTACTTGGAGGCTCTTTTCTGGAAGTCTCGGCTCACACCCCTGCCAGCAGTGCCTCTTCACCCTCACCAGCAACGAATACACAGTCACAAATACAACAGGCAGAGATTCTTATTTCACTGTCATTAAAACGTTCATCTGAATAAAAAGCCTATCAAATGTTTTGATAGAATTCTATGTAATTCCTTTTTACAAACTGTAAACTCACGGCTTAGATTTATCTGCTAAGGTCTGTGTTATTTTTTTCTTACTAATCTATGTGAAAGACTACAGTTCTGAGTGATTTTCTTTGCCATCTTCTAATTTCGTTTAAACTATTTAAACTAATTTCCTTTAACTATTCTGAGTGTGCCAGAAGTCGCTCTCACATGGTGGAGTACACAGATTCTAGGAAACACAGAGCTAGGTAACAAGGGGTCACAGGTCCAAGGGCAGGAGCACTCAGAGCTGTCATAGAGAAAACCGTGCTTACCTGAGAAAGGCAGGCAGTGATTCCAAAAAAAATCTGACATGACTCTGGAGAAAAACCATTTACTCTGTTTGACAGTCATTAAGATTGCAATGGATACGATGAGTGAGTGCGGCTGTGCTCCAGATGCCCGCGGCCACCGGGCATCCCTGCCTCCTCCCGCCCACTCAGTCCACTTAGAAAGTGAGACAGGCCAGAGGACCAGAGACCGCAGAGCAGACGGGAGGAAGTGAACAGCTTTCAGGAAAGCACATGGTAAGATCCGACCTCTCCACTCACATCGTGACTAAGATGGACAGAAGGCATTCATGCGAAAGCATGCCGACTTCCGAGCGGCCTACCTACATGCACACACACAGGAACACATGGGAATAGGCACACGGGGACACACATCTGAAAAGCAACATGGCAGGTACTACAGAATGGGGCAGAGGTGTCGCTTGTGCTACACAAAAGTCCCCCTACAACAGCCCACATGTCACCACCACCTCTGTGAGCTCAGGCATGACAACTTGGAGACCCAGGATCCCCTTTTTAGAGATAAGGATCTGAATACAAAATTCCCAAGATCCTTCCTGGTTCTGCAGCTGACTGGGAAGGTAACGAGTTCATTCTCAAGCCTGCTGTGCCTAGTAGTGTTCTCAGGAGTCTTCAAACCAACACAGCAGCTGGTTTCCCACAAACTGGACTGTTCGGAGCTCAAAGCAGAAGGACACCTACTGAAACAGGTGGACTATGATCAACAGACTCAAAATGACCATTCTGAACCAGCCATTCAGGTATACCGACAGGTCCAACAAATATCTGAGCCTTCCCTGTCTGCAATACACACCGGGATCCAGCACACCAAGTCCTCTGCTCCATCACCCAAGACATTTCCACCTCGCTATCTAACTCGGAGATTCTCTCCTAAACACTGAGGAGACATCAAGAAATCTCAAGATGTACCGCCTGCCAGTCTTGGGGCCCCTTTTTGGGGCTTTAGGCTTCTTATGGACAGAAGGCAAGACCTTGGGTGAGGTGACAGCTTCCTAAGGAAGTCTGGTATGTGCAGAGAAAGAGCCAGAATAGAAAAAGACCCAGAACAGAAAACGTGCCCCCACTTCAGAACCGTCCACCTTGCCGCTCTCTGAGAACAAGCACTATGCTTATAAAGAAACAAAGCAGACAGCAGAGAACACCGTCCCTCAGCTCTTTTGCCTCTGGAGCAAAGTGAGAGCCGAGCTGGGCTTGCTGAAGCTCTACGTGTGCTTCTGCGCAGCCAATGCTCAGTGTGCCATCCTGCAGTGACATCCCTGTGTGACAGACCCAACGGGGGCAGGAGCCCTCACAAGAGCGGCGGAGTGCAGCCGCAAAAGTAGCAGGTGAACGGCGAGCCCTGCCCAGGCCTGAACTCCAGCACCATTCCTGGATGCATCAGATTAATTAAGCGATTGCCAAAATCAGGCTCAGCTTGACCCAACCCCTGAGAAGCTTCATCCCTGCAGAGTGAACCAGAAGCCGCCGGGCCGCCAGGAGAAAACAGCAAGCCTGAAGAGGCCTCGCATGACCCAGCATAGGACAGTCACATGTGAGAAATGCCATGCGGCCAACACGGGCAAGGAGGAGGCGCCACAGGGCAGTCAGTTTGCTTAGTTTTCATTTTGAGATGGGGTCTCATGTAGCCCAGGCTGGACAGCCAAGGATGACCTTAAACTTTTGACTCTCCTGAGAGCTGGGATGAGCGGCGTGCACCAACATGCCCAGTTTTATGCAGTGCTGGGGATAAGTCCAGCACATGGTCCATGCTAGGCAAGCCCTCTACCAGCTGAGCTCCATCCTCTGCCCAAGCCAAGGTCTTCATCAACATTCCATTTTCAGCCTCCAGAGCAAGTGCTGAGCGGGGGTGGAGCATTAATAAACCTCCCATGGAATGGAATTAAAGATTAAGTTACTGTGAAACCAGGAACCTCTTCTCGTGGTCTCTTTCCCAGTATGCTCAAGCCATTCACGGCTTGGACTACAGAATTCTACAACTACCCTTTGACTACATAGAGCGGAAAAGAACTAGAACTCGTGCTCCTCGGTCCTCGCCAGAGTTGCCATCACAGCTTTGACCCTGGGAAGGACGAGATTGGGTACATACCATTCCGTACAGGATAGGAGACAGTAGGGTAGAAAGCGCAGAGGGAACAGCTGGCCCCAGCTAGCGAGCCCACTAACGGTCACTGCCCTCTAAACCCGCAGTTCTGTCCCAGCCTCAGCCCAGAAAAGGATACGGCAGGAGCGCTCCACACTGCACCGACAGCGTCACCCAGGAAGGCTGAAAAAGAAGAGAAGGCGTCAGGTCGTGCAGTCCGTCACCATCGAAAGGGCACACGTCCCTCGTTGTGCGTCTAGAATTAAAAGGTCCTGTTGTGACGCATTACAAAAGTTCATGGCCAAGACCAGGTGTTAACATCCAAGCTCCAAACTCAGTCCCAAGTCAGGCACCTCCGCAGCTGGTGAACACCAGGGATAGGCACTTGACCGTGGTCCACACGCTTCGAGCACTGAGCTTGTGAGCAGGGAAGCCGCTGCCCACCCCACCACAGCAGGAGACAAGCAAACAAGGTCGCTGGCTTCTGCTTTCATTTGGGTTTATATTAAGCCAAGGAGACACAATTTTTAAAGCAAAAAAAAAAAAAAACTATTAATCTCATGAATTCCAAATTCACATTCATTGAAGGATAAATTGCTACCTTTGGGGTCCTTTACATTCTTGGAAAATTCTCTCATTTTTTATGTACTTATTTATTTTATTTCTGGTTTTTTTGGTCTTTTTGAGTCAGGGTCTCCCTATAGCCCGAGCTGTCCTGGTGTCCTGGAACTCACTATGTAGACCAGGCTGGCCTCGAACTCACAAAGATCCACCTGCCTCTGCCTCCCGAGTACTGCCATATTTATTTTTTTTTTAAATTAAACCAGTTATTGTTCCAATAGTTCTAGTTCAAGAAATTTCAATCTAAAAGTGTAAGAGCCCAGTAGCCTCCACACACTCCCCCTCAGTCATCAGCACCGTCCTCAACACTCATTTGATATCTGTTTTGTACAGAGATACAGTCTCAATTCTCAGTAACTTGGTGATTTACACTGGTGATCTTCGGACTACTATCCGGTCCACCTCGGTGGGCCTCCAACAGGGAATGTGTGCTTAGACAGCACTTTTTCAGCAACATACACAATTCTTTTCCTTTTTAATTTGACGCAGAATATCATGTGGCTCACACAGTATGTAACTGGGGCTGGCCTGAACTTATGACCCTGCTGCCCCAGCATCCCAAGCACTGGAATTCCAGACCTGTGCCACCATGCTACTGACACAATCATTTTTAATGACAGGAATATAAAATAGTTTATAAAATAAAGACTGGTTGTACTTGGAATAATTATTTCATGGTGACTTCGTAATTTTAACAGAGGCTTTGGCTGATGGATGAAGTTTGACTCTCAGGAGGAAGAAGCCCCTGACTTCCCTCCATGGGTTTATCCAACATGGCTTGTTTTCTGATAATCCTGGGGAAATTCCAACCAAATCTAAGCACTAAGCCAGCACCACCGCGCTGTACCGGCCAGGCCTGACGTACCAACCTGTAGTCCACACAGTGAATAAGGCTGAGGCAGGAGGACACAGACCCAGGCCAGCCTGGGCTACATGGTAATAACACAGACCCAGGCCAGCCTGGGCTACATGGTAATAACACAGACCCAGGCCAGCCTGGGCTACATGGTAATAACATCTCGAGATAAAGCAAAAGCACAAAAACACACTGTGAGACCAGCTCTGAACTCAGAGCATCTTCTCAACAGGGACACCAGAAGCCAGACACTGGACGCCAAGGACCCACCACTGGGCTCCACGGGACAGTCCCTCGAGCAGTGCTGCAGTTGGGTGTCTGCTCCGAGAAGGCTGCTGGAGCCTGGAGTGACAGAACAACCAGGGCATCCTGTGTAAGAGGTGAAGTGGGAGGGAAAGGAGAGCCCCAGAGTGTGTTTGGCAGTTTTAGGAAGGACCGGTCTTCAGCCCTAGAGAGCCTTCCCAGAGACCACTGGTGCAGCTACTGCCACGTCTGCCCAAGCAGAGGAGGGACATGCAGTCAGGCACGCCAGCCAGAACACTCACAGCTCAGGGCACAGTGGAAGAGCAGAGCAGAAATAGAGGCAAAGGAGCAGGGCTGGAGAGTGCTCACAGGTGCACAACGAACGCTGGCTGCTCTTCCCCAGGACCCACATTCGGTTCCCAGTACCACACAGAGCAGCTCACAAACACCTCTAACTCCAGTGCCGGTGGATCTGACATCCTCTTCTGGTCTCCACAGGTACCCACATTTACACGCACATACACACAGACGCATAAATAAAAATAAGAAAATAAATTAAAACAAAAAAGCAGGGCTAGAAACACGCTCAACAGTTAAGAGCACTGACTGCAGAGGACCAAGAGTTTGGTTCCCAGCACCCACATGTTGACTAACAACCTTCCATAGTTCCAGGGGATTCAACAACCTCCTCTGGACTCGGCAGGCACTGCATGCACGTGGCATACTTACATACATGCAGGCAAAATACTCATACACACAAAATATAAATAAATAAGGAATATCTTGACCCAAAGCAAACACAGCCTGAGAGCTGGCACAACCAGTACTTGCCATCAAGTGCCAAGGCCACAGAGAAAATATTTCTATAAAAATTATCTTAGGAAAGGTAAGAGCCAGGAAGGAGGTACATGACCATACAGAAATGGTTCTACAGATGCCTGGGACCTTCTCATACAAACCTACAGCAATGGTGTCGGCATGCACAAGACCCATGCAAACTTAGGCAGACAAAAACCCAGCACAGAACTGTGGAAATGGACAGCACGCCCCACTCTTAGTCGAAGAATTAGTGGCAGCTGATTACTGCTAGGTGAGGAAGAGCTGATCTTCTTGAAGAGACTCTAGATAGGCTGATGAGACCCTGGTGGATGAACTTGGGACACTAACTTTACATGATAGGCCTTAACACAAATGACAGAATGAACTCCGGGGTGGGGGGGATGGGAGGTGCCAAAGGGGAAGAGGGATAAAGATGATTTTATGTATGAAATACACAAAAATTCAATTTAAAAAATATTTTTTTTCGGGGGGGTGTCTTTTTGAGACAGGGTCTCCCTGTAGCCCCAGATGTTCTGGAACTCGCTATGTAGACCAGGCTGACCTTGAACTCACAGAGATCTGCCTGCCTCTGCCTCCCGAGTGCTGGGATCAAAGGGCATGCGCCACCATGCCCAGCTTCAATAAAAAATTTTTAAAAATACAAAAAAACCTACACCAACCCCTCCCACCTTTACACAGCCTGCGTTTTCCACAGAAAGGCTGTTGCTAAATAAATGCAGTTCAGTCTGAAAGAAAGAAAAAACTATTTTAGGGGTTGGAGAGATGGCTCAGCAGTTAAGAACACTTGCTGTTCTTCCAGAGACCTGGATTCGAATCCCAGCACCCACATGGCAGCTTACAACCATTTGTAACTCTAGTTCCAGGGGATCTGACGCTCTGTTCTGGCTTCTACAGGCAATGCATGCACGCGCATATGCACGTGCACACACAGTACACTTACATACACGTAATTCCAAGTAATACACTCATACACGTAAAATAAAAATAATTGAAAAAAAACTATTTTAGTGGCCAGGTATGGTGGCACACACCTTTAATCCCAGCACTCAGGAGGCAGAAGCAGGAAGGTCTCAGTGATACATTGAGTTCCAGACCAGCGAGGTTACATAGTGGGATCCTGTCTTACACACACACACACACACACACACACACACACACACACAATGCACCTGCATCTCTCTCTCTCTCTCTCTCTCTCTCTCTCTCTCTCTCTCTCTCTGGGTTGGGATGATGGCTCAGTGGGTAAAGTGCTTGCTTCAGAAGCAGGAAGACCTGACCCTGGACGGATCCTCAGAACTCACACAAAGCCAGGCCCTACAGCGCACACCTATAATTCCATAGCTCCAACTGCCCAAGACGATCCCTGACTCTCACACAGGAAGACCTGACCCCAGACCCTCCGAACTCACACAAAGCCAGGCCCTACAGTGCAGACCTGTAATTCCATGGCTCCAATTGCCCAGGAGGATCCCTGACTCTCATGTACTGCTGACATTCGCAGCAGAGAAATAAAATCAGCCAGTCTCAAACAAGTGAAAGATGAAGACAGACACCGGGGGCTCTTCTGACATCCACTCATACACACGGCACACACAACCTCCACTTACACCTGGACATGACACAATACACATACATGAAAGATTAAAGGAAGAAAATTTTTAAAGTTTGGGTGTAAATGATGGGGGGGGATGTTCACTGATCATAAGGATGCTGTGTTATAGAATCTAATATCCAGGCCCAGGCTAAGGATGGAGCCTGCCTCTGGAAACCAGACCTCAGCCTTCCAACTCCAGCACCTGCAACATGATCGGAGTAAGACAGGCCTCAGTTCACTCAATAAGGAAAGAAGGGCCCCAAGAGCCCCAAGTGCAGGGAGACCAAGAACCTGCCACCTACACAACAGCCCCTGGGCAACCAGACACTGCCACGTTAAGTGCACTGAGATGCTGACATGGGTCATCCATTCAACTACAGCCAAAGTGGGCAAAGTGGGATGGGGTCTGCTCAGCCTCCCGCCTGCCCGGGGGTCCCTGTGTGGGATGAAGCTGCCTGCACTTCCGGCAGCAGCTGGCCAACCCTGGCTTCTCATGTGGGGACTACAGTCTTACTCATTCGCCTCTACCCGTCACGGCTCAGCAGCTTCGGCAATTTACGTTTGCTCTTGTTTGCTTCAGTGCCGGGGATAGAACTCAGGGCCTTAAACATGCTGGCACTGCTCGACCACTAAGCAATGCCCTCAGCCCTTTATATACAACTCTGTACGTGTACGATGTGCGCGTGCGTCCGTGCGTATGTGTGTCAAGGCCAGCAGGTGTTGTCAAGGTCTCTTTTTTCTTTTTTGGTCTTTTTGAGACAGAGTCTCCCTATAGCCCCAGCTGGCATGGAACTTGCCAAGTACACCAGGCTGGACTCGATCTCACTGAGATCTGCCTGGCTCTGCCTCCTGGGTGCTGGGATTGAAGGCGTGCACTACTACACCGTGCTGCCTTAGTCTCTTGAGACAGGGCCTCTTACTGACCATGAAGCTCGGCTGGTAGCCAGAAAACTCCAGCACCCTCCTGTCAACTCCCAGCACTGGCCACACGTGGCTTTTTACACGGGTGCTGGGGAGCAGAACTTAGGTCCTTATGCCCAAGTAGCAAGCCCTCTTACCTTCTGAGTCATCCATCTCCCAGCCCTAATTATTAAATTATGGAATAAGCTATCTTACATAGGAATTTTATTTCAGGATACCAAAGGGGGACCACGAAGTATTTACTCCAAAAGGTTAAGCCTTAGGTCCAACATGTTTAAGAGTCCGGTGACAGTGACCTAGGTTGCAAAAAGTATGTTCATAAGGTTAACTTTTCACTACAAAATTGTGTGAGACATGCAGTCACTTTAATTCCCAACAGCTCCAGGTCTACGAGAAAGCAAGCCAGAGACCAAAATGCAGACCAGAAACAGTCGCCCTTGCTCATAGCCAGACTCCCAGCAGGCCTGACCAGGGGCTGCAGGTAAAGCACCCAGTGTTCAGGAGCAGCACTGCAACACACATGCTGCTGTGCACATGCAGCTCTGCATTTACTACCACGTGACTTGTCCTGACTTAGCAGCCTCCTCAGAGTTCAGAGAGAACCTCTTGTGACTCCTGAGGCAGATCCACCTTCAGGCTCATTTGCAAACGTCATGCCTCCTAGGTGTCCCAGAGCCCAGACACTGGGGACCGCCAGCCAGCTTCTCAGCCTGGTCTCAGTAGCCTCACTCCTGTTACTACAGAACGGGGATCATCTGAACACCGGCCCTTCAAGGGAAAACAGCAGAGGTACTAGCCGGGGTGCAACGTCTACTACAGGTAGGAACCAGGGTCACCAGGAAATTAACAAAACTTAAAAGCAAATGGTCTAACTCGCTGCCGGTACAGTTCTCACAGGATAGTACAGTATTTGGGCTAGAAAAATCTAAACAAAGTACCCACCAGCCAAGACCCCACACTCTACAACAATGTCCAAAGGCAGGCCGGGAGCAGCCCAGGGCCACCAGCCAAGGCCCTACACTCTACAACAGTGTCCAGAGGCAGTCCGGGAGCAGCCCAGGGCCACCAGCTGAGGCCCCACACTCTACAACAGTGTCCAGAGGCAGGCCGGAAGCAGCCCAGGACTACCAGCCAAGGCTCCACACTCTACAACAGTATCCAGAGGCAGTCCGGGAGCAGCCCAGGGCCACCAGCTGAGGCCCCACACTCTACAACAGTGTCCAGAGGCAGGCCGGAAGCAGCCCAGGACTACCAGCCGAGGCCCCACACTCTACAACAGTGTCCAGAGGCAGGCCGGAAGCAGCCCAGGACTACCAGCCGAGGCCCCACACTCTACAACAGTATCCAGAGGCAGTCCGGGAGCAGCCCAGGACTACCAGCCGAGGCCCCACACTCTACAACAGTGTCCAGAGGCAGGCCGGGAGCAGCCCAGGGCCACCAGGTAGGCAGAGTGACTGGTACTGTGACTCTCGTCATAATGGTCTGGTGGCAGCAGAGCACAGCCTCCTTCCTTCAGCTGCTCAGCAGAGATCAGGACCACGGCCACCAGGGGAAGGAACCCTCCTCTCTCTCCCTTAAGAGGCTTCTGGAATCAAATGCACTTTCTGACCTGCAAACGCCCATCCCATGAGGCAGCGGAGCCACTTCCTGGACAGGTCTCTGGGGCTGGAGAGCTGGCAGAAGAGACAGGAGGGCAGCATTTCTACGGCAGGTGGAACGTTTGACCCAGGACTACTTATGCAGAAACCTTGCTCTGCATGGCCACGAGCCTCCAGCCCTGAAGCTGAGGAGACTGAGAAGTCCCAGCTTCGTCTATCTCCCAGCTTCCCAGTTAACCCGCTGATCATGGGCAAGGCCTGCAGAGGGCCAGGCCAGGGGTTGAGACAGGGCTGTGAGAGGTAAACGGAAAGGCTCAACCTGGACTCTCTACTGACCTTTACAACAGGCAAGTCAAAGACCTCCCGGGCTTCTCCCACCTCTGGGTTGTCGCCATCCTCTGAGATGATAAGTGAGGCCAGGGCGTTGTAGGAGACCTCCTTGGCTTTTCCAGCTTTAAGAAGCTGAATAACCTAATGAAACACAACAAACAACACAAATTTAAGTGGAAAATACTGTGCTGTCTTTCCAATTCCTGGAATTGGAAATTTATATTTATAATTATTAGAAATGATAGAAATTTTTAATAAAAGTACAAGGTATCAGGCTAGGCGTGGTGGCTCATTCCTTCAATCCCAGCTTTCAGGAGGCAGAGGCAGGCAGATCTCTGTGAATTCAAGGCCAGTCTGGTCTACATAAGCAAGTTCCAGGCCAGCCATGGCTACAGAGTGAGCCCTGGTCACAGCAAATACCTGGTATCTCCTACACAGAACAAAGCCATTCCCTCTGGGTGATAAAACCAACCAGACACTTGGACACACTAACAAGCAGCAAATGTGACACTCAGATCAAGTCACTGAGGTGCACAGCCAACCACTAGCCCCTGCTGTCCTCCAGACAGAAAGAATAGGCCAGGACACAATGGTAGCTGCTGAGGTCTACAGGGCCTTGTCCTGGGCCTCCAACCCAAAGTCTGGGGATGGGTAGTTCTACCAAAGACAGGCAAAGTTTCTGGAGGAAGAGCTCTACCGGCAGAATAGTGACTTGTGGGTGTCAGCCAGGCAAAACACATGCACTGAGAGGCCCAGCACTCCAGGCACCAAGCAGAGGGAACACCAACAGTACAGTATTGGGTGCTATGCACAACAGGGTCCTTAACTCACAGGAGGATTTCACACAGCAAAGTGATACCACCAAACCTTATGGAAAGATAGCTAACAGCACAGGAACACGTGGTGGGCTGATCATGCACCCAGACCTGACAACCCAGTTGAGTATCAGCAGCAAGAGGAAAAGTGACAGAATTAGCCAGACAGTAACCAGAAGGGCCCAAGCAGAGCGAAGCCCGCCAGAGTGCAGCACCCCGAGGAATGGACCGACCAGGGCACTGCCTGAATGTCCATGTAGGTCGCTTCCCTGGTGCCATGTGACAGCGGATGGTAGGTCTCCAGTTAGGAAAGCCTTGCACTACACCCCAGGCCTCTCTCCTCAGGTCAACTTTTCATGACAATTTCCCAAAACAACAGTTCACTGTACCGTCCTCCTCACTGTACCCGCTCACAAACTCTAAGGCAGAGCCTTCCCGCCAAACTGTGAAAACACAGTTCTGAAGACTCCCAAATCAAGTGACACCGCCTTCCCAACTCCGCAGCCCATTCCGCCTCACCAAGTCTACCTCGTTGCTGCCAGTGACCATCCTGACGCACTGCAAAGTACATAAATCCCGATTCCTAGCAGGTGAAGCAACATCTGCCTATGCCCAGGCTCAGCAGCTACTGAGGGACACGGGGATGACGTCATCCTCAGTGGCCTACAGAGATGAGCTGCCCCACAGCACCGACCACAGTTCCATAACCAGCACTCAGGTGCACATGACACCAGGTTCCATGCTTCCTGAATCTGCAGTTACAAGATCCAGAGAACCCAGGTTTGAGTCCCAGCACCCACATGGCGGCTAACAACCTTTGGTAACTCAGTTCCAGGAGGATCCAATGGTCAGGGGCACTGCATGACAGAAGTGTGCTTATCTGCAGGCAATATATGCATACACACAGAATAAAAAAAATAAATTTTAAGATTCAGAAAACGGGTGTTCTGACTCTAAAGTTCGTAGAAAATAAACTGCTTCCTGTGACAAGGGCCCACCAGGGACACTTGTGAGCACCTACACTTCACACACACTCAGCTGAGTGTGTTCTTGGGTTCAGGTGGCACTGGGTCAAGTGCCCCGTAAGAGCCAAAGTTCTAAAATGAGGAACAATTAAGTGAAGAGAAAATTGGGAAGCAGGGGTGATCAATTCCGGAAAAGGCCACAGTGACACATGTCGATCACTCTGGACTCACCACCTGTTTAACGCTGAACAGAAGTCTCCGCGCCCCAAAGTTAAGTGTGGGGGGGGACCCAAGGGACTTCCCTTCAACGACTCTTAGGGCGCCTGTCTATGACATCATGAACCACGATGCAGACGCAACTATACGGCAAAGATAAAGGGAATGTTGGGGAAAGTACCGTGAGAAAGAGCGAGGCGAGGTGCAAGCCGGTCACCACACGCACGCAGTCCTGAGAACCCACAATGCCCCGGCGGCGGGGGGGGGCATTAGACGCTCCCGCCGGTGCATTTGCACACCTACCGTCCGCAGGAGGGAAACTGAGGCTGGGAGGCCCGGGCGCCCCACCCCCCACCCCGGCCGGACCCCCAAGCTGCAGCGCCCGGCTCCGCACCGACCCGCCGGATGCTCGCCAGCACCGCGCCGGCCCCC